TAAGTGTTGACAGGTCGCTAATTGTTTAAACATGCCCTCAATTACAGTGTGAGATGTCTGAGTCGCGTGACTTGGTAGCAGTGACTTGCTTACTGAGGACCCATCAACAGTGAATACAAGGCCAAGCCGGTCCGGTTTAGACCAAGCCCCATGCAAGGATCTTAGCCCTCATGTGTTGATATTGTATCTATGTATAATACAGGACTGCACAAGTTCAAGTCTATAGACTGGGAGAGGACCTCTTGATGAAGGTGGAGGTGTGTTATGTTTATGTATAAACAGTTTGTTTCCAGAAGATTTTAACATGTAATATCTGAGCGTAGGTAGCCGTACATTTCTTTTCGCGACTCTACAACCTGTAACCTCATTAGTAGAAACCAAGTTTTCATTCCTCTTCCTGTGCATTTACCATGTACATGGCTCTAATTGGAAAAGTTGTCTCGCCTACAAATATAAAGACTGCTACACTTATGCATTAGGTGCTCCACCCAGAAGCGAAGGAACGTTTAGTAGCAGAGCTTGTCCATTCATGTATGTTGTACATACCTGAACTTGAGCGTGGCTCAGGCATACAGATACACAACAATTGTGAACGTGGTTATGGGTGGTGTTCTGTGATGTGATTGTAGAGTGAAGAAAGTTTTATGAGTGACGATAGTTGTGTATGTTGCTGCTGCAAGGCTCAGCTCTAACCTCTAACATACAGTAAAAAGTACAATGAGTGTGTATATCTACGGGTGGTTGCACATGTTGGAATAATTACTTGAACGGTCTTGTGTGGGCAGACCGGCTATCTGGAAGACACAGCTACTCGATGGGTGCCAGTCACACAAGGGATGCACGACCAGCCCGAGAGTCACTGCAATCTTGCTACAACAACTAGTAGACGACCCTTCACACTAGAATACAACAATGGAATTTTGGAACGCTGTTTGCACTCTCTAGAGGCAGGAATTTTGTCTCTTGATTGCAAATTGCATTCATAATTGCCGAGCGCGTTAGTCGTGAGGCACAACTACCGGGTTGTATGCTCGCGCTATGGGCACGTACGTCGTCAATTTGTCACGCTTAGGAATGATCAATTAGTCACCACCAAAAGGATGTGTAACTCCGTCATTCGTGAGGAAGTCTAGCTTCCTCGCGCCGTGCGGCGCAGATCACTATGTCGGCTTCGCGCGCAGAGTCAGTCGAGGAGCGGCCTCAGTCGGACTGTTACGGCATTGGCTTGCATGCGCGAGGCCAAATATGAGCGTGCGCGAATTCCTAGTATAAATAGTACTCACTGCTTTTTGTACAATGAAGCTCTGTATAAAATGACCTGCAGGCATTATGAAAATCGAGAGTACATGCAAGTATTAGCACACAGAGCGAACAAGTGTCCATTAGTGTACTTATTTGGATGTCTTTAATAGAGTACCACTGCAGTAACCCAACCCTCGGCGCGCATGCGCAGCGAGGGTTACAGTAGTCGTTCTGTCAGTCTGTCTGTCGTACTGTCTGTCGTCTGTCTGTCCGTCCGCGCGAGTTCTAGCACTACAGGCTACGAGGCGGCCAATGAGTGGCACCAACGGGTTGTGAACGACGAGAAGATTGATATTAACCCTTTGGGCGCAATTTACATATATATATGCACAGAGCCTCCATAAGTGCATAAGAATTTATATATGGCTATAATACTAGGCGCTAATATGTTATACATCAATTTCTGCTTATTTAAGGAGACACCTATGGCGCCCAAGGGTTAATGTGGCGATTTTCCCGAAACGACTGCGTTCCAGAGATATGGCATGAAAACAAGCGAAAAAGCCAACGCGCGGTCGATCGCGCACAGCGCCCTCTCCCTGCAGGCTATATACAGTAGCTATATAGCGCGCACGCGTAATGTCAATTAATCGCCGGAGCATGCGCTTGGTTGTATATACGATCCACGGCCGCCTGTCAGTTTTGATCTCTGTTCCCTATGGATAAACGATAAACATGCTGAGCAAGCAATAGTTATAAAACGTCTGGCGAGAGCATTGAAACACAGAAGAGCAGATAGATTGAATAAAGCAAATATGAGAGCCTCTGAAACACCTGAGCTATTGCTCTAACCGCTAATGCAACTACCCTGTGTTTACGGTGAAACTCGTGTTACTGGCTCTGTCGATGACGCACGCCCAGCATACAGCGATGCTACAACTCGCTAGTTTACCGCCGAGGGTTTTGCACTTTAGTGCTTTTCATTATGGGTGTAGCAGTACAGCTGATGTGTTCAGTTAACTTATTGTTATTCTCAATAGGACCGCACTGAGCCAATAATGTGTTCATACAAAGCAGTAAGGTGTTCTTTGAGGTGTGGGGTATGCAGACCAAAGTAGAATCAGCAGTGCACAAGGTAATTTAGAGTGTTAAGTGAAAGCAGTCTGAACACTAGAACATGCATGTCCATTCAAGCCAATGTGTGTAGGAATGTCAGTCATAATAGCAACTGACTCAGCCATGTTGCACAGAGCATGCTAATGTTTGAAAACACATTTTCATTACTTTTGATAAACTGCTTTGCGTGTGTCATAGCACGAGATGCACTGCGGACTGACAAGTATATACTGTAATCCTCGTTGCACATGGCGTGCCAACACGTAATGTCGCTTACAGTTAACAAGTCTGCTGGAAAAAGCTCCACGTATATAGGTAAAGGCCAACATACAACCTGAACCTTATCAATTGGGAATGCATCTACCAAGAGATCTTTGTCTTAGTGTTGTCTTGACACTCTGTTTTTACATGCACTATGCAAAAGCATTTAGCAAATTAGCTGCTTAACTCTCAGGTGCTGTATTGGTAGTGCCTGACATCCATGTTTCAGGTCGTAACTGAACAACAGTACTGGTAAAAGTCAGAGCCACAAAAACAAAATTGCACACTTTCAAATGCACCCACAGGAAGGACATCTGAGAATATACTGACAAAGTGTATGTACATAGTGTGTGTGTGTGTGTGTGTGTGTGTGTGTGTGTGAGATGTGCTAGCTTTACTGTCTCTGTGATGCAATGCCTGATTCCTTGCTCATGTCACTCTGACCTTACATAACACATGATGATACTGTTCAATGTTCCCAACAGTATGTGTGTGCTCTTGGTTATTCTTTAAATGCAGGCAATTCTGGACATCATAATAAAGGGGCACAAACAGGCGTTTTTGTGGATGGACGAGTGGTATGGTAAGTAAAAGACGTGTCCTCCTGTATGGCAGGCAGGATTTTAAGAGAATAGATATGTGTATGGTAGTATATAAAGCACAGCAGTCTATATGGCTTGTGTAAGCGCGATGCTGAAGTAGGTAGATGCACCCACATTCAGGTCATGCTAAGTCTTTCACAGCCACTTGAACAGCAGAGATTAATAGCACAATAGGGCTTCGTTGACCTATTCATACAACTAATGAAAAGCACTAAAGTGCAAACCCTCGCGCATGCGCGGTACCCCTAGTTGATGGGCTGGGCTATTAGTATGCACGTTTACTCGTCTCGTTAGTAGCTCGCGGAGAGTCTGACACGGGCACGCTAGAGTAGTAGATAGCATGCGGGAGTCGATTCACACCCTTCGTTGTGACTCCCTGTGCTTTCAAGATACACAGAGCAAGCGGACCCGGTCAAGGTAAGCCTCTGCTAATTAGCATGTTGGCTTATTCACTTGGTTTTCACGTCATAACTTTAGAACGCAGTATTTATGAAAATCGCCTTTAAAAATCAAGCCAGTGTAGCACTGAACCCCGTTACTATCACTTTGGCCGATTTCTTGTGCGTAGTAACAGACAGTCAGACAGACACACTACGAACCAAGTACTGTAACCCTCACTGCACATGCGCGCCGAGGGTTAACTCGTAGTGGCAGCTCCAATGCTGCACTGTAGGAGTGTGCCACAGCAAACCAGCTTCGAAAAAATGGGTTCCATGATTGTGTAAAAGGATGGAATAAACTTCCAAAGCGTTACAGTTATGAGGTACATGTAATCCAAGGGCGGAGCCCGAGGATGGTTTTGAAAAACGGCTGGGGGGATATTCAGTACCACTTCAGTGCCGGTGGGTTAACCATTTTGTAGCCCAGGAACACCACTAGGCCGTGGTGGGCAGTTCTAGTTAAGGTCTACACATTGCCAATCGCGCAGGCAGCCGACTGTTCGAATACTGACTACAGCGCTCGCCTGTGGTACCCAGGACTGACGCTCGGCCTAAGCGATACCTCAGTGGAGGTTTAGTACTACTTCACACCGTGTAAAACAGTCGATTCGCCACACAGAACGTCGTTTAAAGCTTCCACCGTATCCTTCGGTCCGATACTCATATCCTCCAGTGGATATGAATATTCCCCAGGAAATGGTCGGGTGCAGTCAGTGGTACCCGTGTATGCGGCACTCTGATTTCTATGGCTTCTGGACTACGAACTGTATATACCACCCACGAATTATTTTTAAGGTTCCATGGCAAGGCTGCACTTACTGTACTGTATTATTATTGCATTATTTTCTTGTGGCTGTTTTTAACATGTCTCTGCAGGTATGACGATAGATGATGTACGTAACTTTGAACAGAAACTGCATGAAGAGACCAACCACAAAGTATTGGAAGGACTGGAAATACCAGAATCACCAAACCCTCAAACTTAACCTGATGACCTCTTCATTGTTTGTTGTTTGAGTGTTCATTGCCTTTTTATACCTTCATATCTTTGCATCTCATGATAGTATAAACAGCAAAATGTGCCAGCAGCTGCATGCCTCTTCTACCACACCATGCATACACTGTACTGCCCCTTCTTCATTCTTAATATGAGTCGTACATTTATGTGAGTGATGTGTGTGTACAGCCGAACCTGCGATAAGGAACCTTCCGAGATCGGGACGACTGAACACTTGTTTCAACTCCACGCGAACACATTTTGACCTCTGAGATATGGAAGACCTCTCTATTTAACCTTTGGCCCTATAGTGTTTGTTTTTACGGTTCCACTGTATAGTGAGGAGCATCCGTCAGTCCTGATCTTATTGTCAAGTGTCTTTGCCATATTCCTCTTCGATGGGCATGATGTAAGGTACTTTGTACTTCGCTACAAATCACTTCCTGGAGTGTAGCAACATCATTGTATATATACACAGTCGCTGCCAAAGGGGGGGGGCATATTTCCCAAAGTATCTATTGTTTGTGTGTCAACAATTATGTCGAAAAACCAATTGGCAGTATTACACTTGTGTAGATTCCAAGGTAATTTTGTCCACTTTCAAAGAGAGTGTCCATTTTGCTCTTTGTTCAATACTCAAATCAACATTGAACCCTTCCCCTTTAAGTATATACATGCACATAATTGACAAGGTTGAAGCTGAACACTTCTCTCTGTGCCTCCCTGTAAGATGTTAATGATGAGATGGAGTGGTTTCTTCTTATCAGAGATGAGGTAGCTAAAACCTTGGCTGATAATAAGCAGGATAAGCATCTGGCTAAAGTGTTCAGCTTCAACCATTACCCTCCAATTTGGCCCAACAAATTTCTCCCCGATGTGTAGCAGAGAGGAAGATGTATTCCCTACGTTCAGGGAGTTGGAGTTTCAGAAAGTATATATCAGACGCACTCTTGCAGCACATAACATTCGCACCCCCTTCAGGGTTTCCAGCACTTTGAGACAAAACCTTTGTCGTCCAAAGACATCATACCCCCTCATTCTCGATCAGGTGTATTGTACTCTATTCCGTGTGCTGACTGCCACTACATATACATCAGAGAAACTGGGTGCCACCTCTCCACCCGTCTGAAGCAGCATCAAGAGGCAGTGAAGAAAGGCCTTATGGAAAGATCAGCAGTAGCCGAACACGTATAGACTAACCAACACTCTGTTGCTTGGGACAATGTGAAGATCCTAGATTATGATTCAACCAGCCCAACAAGAAAAATCAGAGGGGTCTTATATCCCTTTGGGCGCAATTTACATATATATACGTATATGCACGGAGTGCATAAGAATTTATATATGGCTATAATACTAGGCGCTAATATGTTATACATCAATTTCTGCTTATTTAAGGAGACACCTATGGCGCCCAAAGGGATATACAGATCCGCAAGCACACAAGCCTCATAAACAGGGATAGAGGTGTGGAAGTATCACACATCTGGGATTTCCCGAATAGTTTCTATCACCTACACTTTTTCCTCTCTCCTTCCTTATCCCCCCCTTCTTATGTTTCATTGAATTGCTGTGCCATTGCTCTCTACATATTTGTGTCATTATTCCATCTCCGTGTTGCCATCCTAGTCACTTCAGTTGTATCACTACTCTCCCTGAGGAAGGCGGAAGGCCAGGCCTCCGTGAGGAGACCGAAACATTAGTTTGTTTCAGCACTCTGGTTTATAACTGAGAGTGCCATGATTACTATGACTCATCATTCATGATTGAGAGAGAGGTCACCACAGTAATACCCAAGTCTAGTATCGGTATTAAAGACACATAATAGCCCAAGTGACAAGAGTAGCACCAGCCCCAGTGATTAGAGTAGCAGATTATGGGGACTGTTAGCCCCACCTTGGTACCCCAAACAGACACTGGCTGGAACAGCTCTGATTTCCCCCTTTACTAAAACTGCATCTGAAAGGCCTGGAAGCATAGTATGGCATTGCGTGAATAATGTGACATGCAGATAAAGGGAGGTGAAATAGCCGACAACTTGTGGAAGCCTCTTGACTTCATATTGTTGTTGGTTGTACCCCTTATTAAGAATTCCATAGGTTAGAGGTATGTGGAAAGAGAAAATAGTTAGAATTTGCTTTATGTAGAAGTACTTCTGTGGGCCTGTAGTGGAAAGTCTGGGAAGTCACACATGTTGTTGAAAATTCTAGCAAACGTAAGTCCCTCCTATATAGTTTGCAGGCCAGGTAGGGAACACACAGAGATATTCCTTGTAAGGTATAGGTGCCACTGCTTGAGACAGATTTTAAGTACAAATTCTGCACCCCTTCCAGCTTAAATATGTCTCTCTGTAGATGATTCCAGACCTGGGGCGCATATTCAAGATGAGGACAGGCCAGTGAAAGATACAATTTTTTGGAGCGAAGACTGTGACGATAGATGAAGCCGAGCATTCTTTTCGCTTTAGTAGAGATGTCATGTATGTGACCATCCCAATGTGTTTGACAGTGTAACTCCCAGCTATTTATAGGAAGAAACTCTCTCAAGAACATGGTCACAGAGTATTAGAGGCCCAGGGGGCAGAATATTTCTGTTTACTAGTCTGGATACAATCATGTATTCGCATTTATTTTTATTCAGGTGATTGGATACAACCCACTGAGAGATGGAGTCTATGTCAGTTTGGAGTGAATTATAGTCACTGTGATTGGATATTTTTCGAATGTCATCGGCATAGAGAACAACTTGTGTCCCTGGAGTTAACTACACTGAAGGTAAACATTGATGTAAATCGGAAAAGTAGATGTCCGAGAACTGATCCTTGTGGGACACCTGAACAACCGAACTAATATAAGATCCGCTGACAACTGAGAACAACTGATTTTTGCGATTATGGAGATATGAAAAAGGCCATTTCTGTACATTGCCTGAAATCCCTGAATCCCATAGTTTATAAAGCAGAGGGCAGTGTGGGAAAAGAGAAGAGTTTCTCCTCTCTGCTCTTATATTTTCAGTCTCTCCTCTCTGCTCTTATATCTTCAGCTTGATCTCATTATCCCCATGCACCACATGACTACCCTGCCACACAAAACATGGCACACAAGAGGTTTACTACTTTTGAAGCTCACAGCTGTTGCTATGACTTTAATCACATGCCTTCTGAACCACTTCAGATGCATACATGGAAGTCTGAAAGGGCTGGTAACAAACTCACAAACTTGCTATATTATACAATAATGTGTAATACAAAAGAGAGATGTTAGTAACTCAAAATTTTTTTGGATTGTTCTCAGTCTTCGTTATTGTCAGCCTCATTTAAGGCAGCTAAAGCCACCAAGCAATGGGGGGATCAGACAAGAAGAGGTGTCGTCAACAGTCACTGCATTGCAAACATTACCAATTACGAGGGGTTGTATTTCTGATCAATGTCACATTCTCCCATTCTCACTGTATCCAGTAATTTCTAAAACTCTAACCTCTTCGCTTGGTTCGTCATCTACAAAGCTAAACTCGTCGTGTATGCTAATGCTTTTGAAGACATTGTAGGGTCCAACAACCCCCCTGGCTCAAACTGAAGATCGTCTCCTATTATCATAGTGTTTATAATGTTGTAACTAAACTTTGTCATGGTGCCAAACATCGACATCTTCTGCAGTATCAACGACACAAATCATGTTCTTCTTGTGTCTCCTTGAAAGTCGATGTCCTCTCCTGATGCCTCACAACACCAAGTGTACCTGCGACAGCCGGCCAAAGTTTATCTCCAAGTTTTCTTCAGTGATTTCAGACAAGATGCAGTTGGAGAGGGATCAGGGTTACTTGTGTTAGTGTAGATTCTCTCAGGGCACCTGCAGGATGTTCTAAGGAACTTGGCCCCTGTGATCTGGTCAATTCTCTCTGAAAACAGGGAGCATTCTCTGCAGCAATCGCAGGAAGAAAGATCACCAGTTGACAACGATGCTTCCAAGAATGGCTCACAAGGCAGATCTACATTCGGGCACACTACTGAGCAGCGGTTGTAACAGGAACCATTGATAAACTTGTGCCGAGGAGGGCACCTGCGAGCACTTGTCTGGGAAAGTAACAGCAGTGTAGCAAGCAAACGAAATGCCGAAATCGAAGCCATCTTGCTATATAGCAGTGCGACCAGTGTGCTCGAAAGCGGATATCAGAGCAAACGGATTTATCCGTAATTTCGAACACCATTTACGGGCTAAATCGAAGAATACGGAGGAGAAGCGCGCTCGAGAAAAAGCGGGGGCGCTACGGAAGAGTTACTTCACGGATTACTGTAAAGTTTAGTTGGAGGCTTTGGGATATATATTATAATGGTCTGATATAATAGTGATGTGTGTGTGTGTGTGTGTGTGTGTGTGTGTGTGTGTGTGTGTGTGTGTGTGTGTGTGTGTGTGTGTGTGTGTGTGTGGTGTGTGTGTGTGTGTGTGTTAGTCTTTTCGATAGTGTGCAAGACCCGTTACCCTGTTGGCTCTGCCAGAATTTAGGCTCGTGGCCCATTTGCTCATAGCTCGAGACTGCCGCCGAGCAGGACGCGTTCATCGTACAAGCATCGCAGCAACTGGACGGATATATCCTGCGAGCCCCGCCGGAGCAAGACACTGCCACTGGAGCGCTCAGCCCGCGTCGCTTGATCTGGACGCGATTTGTTTTTAAAATGGGCTTTCCCACGCCTTGATTATTATGGATTTGACCTTTGTGAAACCTCAGTGATCTAAATTCTTCACAGTGATCTAACTTGCAACTTAGAGACTTAGTACTTAGATACATTTTCTCTTTCTACAAAGAAAAGAAAAAGAAGAAAGAAAAACAACAACGTATATACATGTAGCTAAACTACAAGATCAACAACAAGAGACAACACAAAAGAACAACAAAACAACGCAAAACAACACAGAGTCAAATAACACCATCCAGAGAGGGGGCAAGTTGTGGACTGCGGTGAATCCAGGCAGAAGCATTTCTCCTCCAGAGAGATATTGCGAGTCTTTGGTAAAGATGACGAGTAGATTCGACCGGAGAGATCCCCAAACGCTGACCCAAAGACGGCCCAGGCTGGAGATGGTGTCAGCAGACATATCACTCACGCCACCTAGGGACTCTATGGCGAGAGGGATGAAACTGATGCCAACGGCCTGGCAGGCTGCACCGTGAGAAGCAAACTTTCTCTCCTCAGCAACTAAAAGGGCATGGCCCTGATTTTCTGCAGCACCCCGAACGGTTGATTTGCTGTAGTGTAGAGATGACGGTGATGTCCAGGGCGGCAGGGCGGCCTCTTTTCCAGCAGGGGAGATAGATGTCAGCGGGCCGGCTTCGGGTGCCGGGGACCAGAGAGGGGACTTCCCTTCGGGGTGCCAAGGCAGCTGACTGAGCTGCTGAAAAAACTGCATCCCGAAGGGAGTTATGTCGGAGGATTCTGTCGCAGTTTCCTCCGCAACCCACTTGATGGTCCCCAAAGGAGTCAGCCGGGACATGACAAACAGGACACCTAATACCCTCCTCGAACATGTGGAGGCCCAGCCAGTACTGCAAGCAGAATCGGAATTCCCGGTCTGGAAGGTGGAGGCCCAGGGCAGAGGACGGGATGACGTTCAGCCAGTCGCCGGCATGACGAATGGCAGACGAAAGGGCCAGGGCTTTGGAGCGAATGTTTGGAGCTGAGACCACAGGGTGTCAAGGATGCCTCATCTATAGCACGACAGAGGCTGTGTTGACTGTGGGGAACATCGATATCCTGGATGGACACCCAATCAGGTCTAGCTGAAGCCAGGGCCAGAGACCTAATGGTGTCAGGGAGGTGGACAGGGGGTTGGCGGCGTGCCCCAGGATCCTTGAAATTAGGGGTCTGCTTTGAAGGAAGGAAGCAATATAGGCAGCAGGGGCATGTAAGGAGGCCTGACGAACATTCAGCCCCCCTAGGGACGAAGGGAGAGAGGCTTTGGCCCAGGACCAATCGGGTAGAGGGCCCCCAGCGAGATCAGAGAGGGCATCACGCATAATGCGGTCGAAAGACCCTATATAGAGCCTCTTGAATGAGGGCGACAGGTGCGAAGAACATAGGCAACCTTGGTTAGAGCCAGACAGGAACGGAGTAGGGCGGTCTCCATCTGAGAGTCCTCGAGGTCTGCGAGTTTAGAGAGGGTATCAACGAGTTTGCTCACCCTAGTACTACGCGTTTTAGACACTTGATTACTACGCTCAACATAAAAGGGAATTATTCATGAGAGGTTCTAAGGCGGAACTACGCGAGCCTGGAGGGCGATTTTCCGGGAAACGACTGCGATAAGTGTGCCGTGAAAACATAATCGCACTCGGCTTACCGCGACCTGATCCGCTCGCTCTGTGTACCTTGGGGGCTCAGGAAGTCACAACGAGTATCGACTCCCGCATGCTCTCTACTACTGTAGTGTCACACTCTCCGCGGAAAAGAAGGATTCTATAAAACTCGCTTTCTCATTAGTGAGACCTTAGGATTTCACTGGCAAAGTAGCTACTAGAATCAGTGAAGTGGCACTAGCATACAACGGGCGAGCGTTAGTAATTCTATGGGAGCTGTATAAAATTTTGTAAAGTTGTTATCAAACACTCAGTTACTACAAAAAAGAATGTTTGGGGTCTCACACACATGAACTGTGCCTGAGATTTTGCTTGCATGATAGAATGCATGATAGAAATGCTGTAGGCCCACCAAAATATAGAAATTGGATTCTCTGCGTTACACTTGTGTTGCATTACTGTTTACGCATGCGTGCAGCCAAAAGTCAAAGGTGGGCGTGTCGACTAAATCAGACCCTCCGAGCTATGATGTCGGCTAGTCTGGAAGTAGAAGGTAAACCTATGTGTGCTGTAGTTGTGGAGGGTGGCCTGCCCACTGCATCGTATCTGGGAGTTCGTACGCAGGAATCATGCTTGACCTTGCAGCCTGGAAATGTTGTGTAAAATTGCCTTTAGGGATCAGTGTGTGTATATGTCCTTCGCATGCAGTCAGTGCCTGTGTCTGCCCACAATTAGTGCGTACATAACAGGGCTGCGTGTAAACACACTTTTTGGCAGGACCTAGTCTACTGTATATACTACTGTCGAAATGCACACAGTATGCAGTGCACAGGACGTTGTGGCTGCAGACCCTACTGGGAAAAGCGACCCCTACTGCCTGGTGAGCCTGGCTGGATCCTCAGAGCCCACCTTCAGGACTGAGACCTGTCTGGCTACACTAAACCCAGTCTGGAACCAGAGCTTCACCTTCCCTCCCTCCTCCCTCACCCCTTTCATACACAGCACAAGTCAGTGCAGCCCTGCCTTTACTGCATTGGGCAAAATTCATACGATAGCTACACGTGATGTCTGTGTTTATACTTACCTGTGTATAATAGGCAGTCCAATGGCACAACTATAATACCATAATGTAGGAGAAATATCTGTGTGCTATACACAGAAATGGTCCCTTATACCTAGCTTTTCTGCAACACTGCTGCTGAGCTCACCTTCTGTCCTTGACTTTACCTTGACTTTATCTGATTTATACTGTCACTCTTTGGATATAGATTAGTTTTGTCCTCTAGTCTCACCCACCGCCTCTCCCTTCTCTCTATCAATGCAAAGTTACAACCTTTAAGTGGTTCAAACATCATGTTTTGCGTTCATGATTGGAGGGCGAGACTATAGATCCCACCCATTACAATGGGTCTGGTGATATGTTTCCTGGTTTGACAGTAATATGCTCACTGAACCAATCATTACTTATAATTGTGGGTGTGTTGAAAACTGGAGTGAGATTATGACTGCTCAAAAAGGTACTCTCACCTCCCATCGCTTTTTATAATGAGGATGGCCTGGGCACAGTATTATAGACAAGTCAGTTGGCATGATTTTTTTAATGATTTCTTACCATTTGTGGCTGAGGTTAGGCTCTACCAGTGGTCATTCAGCATTCATTGGCGAGTGAAGCGAGCCAACCTTGTCGTTTCAATGTGGGAATTTTTTATTTATGTATGACGGCATCGTGCACTGCACATATCGTAATGTTCTACGTGATTCTATATACGCGCAAAATACACGTGAAATATTGAACTGCTCGCACTTGCTCGCTAACAAAGCATTGCATTCCTCTAGTATACTCTCAACTGTATAGCCTTGTGTTTATGTTTTCAATGGCAGAAGGAGAGCTACTGCTGTTTGGATACCTGTTGATTGAAGTATGGGACTATGATAAGGTCAATCAAGATGACTTCCTTGGCCGAATAGTTGTCCCACTGTGTGATGTACCTCCTGGAAGTGATAAAGATGACACCTACCCAATCACAAGAAAAGGAGTCAAAGATGTGGTGCGTGGGACTATCAGGGTTAAACTACGCCTCTGTATGGAGAAAGAAACTGTGAGTTTTGGTTTAATAACCTTCATGGAAAAAATGGATGATCAAAATTCAGTAATGAATGTGGAGTGTCAGTTTATATATAGAGTCTCCGTCCTTCCTCTCTGTCTGTGTAGAAACTGAGCTACTCTGGCATCAATGGGCAGCTGTATGAGGCCTGCAGGTCCCGGAGCTACCAGGTCCAGGTGGCCAGCAAACCAGCTATACTGGAACTCCCTGGGAGAGCAGAGCGAGTCGAAGCGGCTGTTTCTAATGTTCTGGTGGACATCTCGTCCTTCTACTGCTCTGCACAACTCTTTCTCACTAATTATAGGTAACTTCCTTCACTAGACTCCCTATTTGTATTGTAAACCAAATTTAGAAATGTACATATGGATCTTGCTTCATGCCTGAAGTTTTCTATTGTTACTTCCAGGCTGATCATATTGGCTAAAAGGGAGCAGCATTTTCAAGGGTTCAGAGGTCGTGGGAGTAGGATGGACCACAGTATGTGGATAGCTCTCAACAACATCCAGAACGTCGAGATGAAGACCCAATCTTCGGTATAACCTTTGCAATTGCTCGATTTGCTGTATATTATGCCGATTATATAATATTGTGTGAATGACACAGAGGATTCGGCGAAATATTTCTGGCCAGAGGTTAGATGCTCTCACTCAAGCAATTCACATCAACTGTTTCGATGCGAGGCGAATCAAACTCCTCTTCATTCTCAATGAGGCGGAGCCAAACCCACTGAGCCAGTCTCAGAGACCACCCCTCCCTGACAGCAGTGAGCAGACACAGGGATCTCCTAACTCCAGTCCTCGGTCAGTATTGTGCCCTAATGCATGCATGTACCTGTTCATATTGGGGTGTACTTTCAGTATATACCTGTTGTATGGCTGTGTGGTGCTACTACTGCAAATGTGTTGGACACGACTACTATTGTTTAGGTCAAAGAAAAAGGTGTTTACGACAGGACTTGGTGAAAGGGTTCAGAACTGGAAAAATGGACTACCAGAAAAAGTCCAACACGTGAAGATTGGAGGGAGGTTTGGGTGGAGCAGAGGGGGAGACGACACACACCGACAGTACAGTGAGGTATATACCTATGCGGACCCACACACACACACACTTAAAATTATGGTGTTGGTTATGGCCCATTCAGAGTGGGTGTCACAGTGGTGAAATCCCACCGGAACTCAATTTCGGACGACATAACAGCCGGCAAAGTTTATGTCCTCAACATCACACAGCGGAGAGACAGTAGCTGTTCAATCTCGCCAAGTAAAAGCATCTGCCAACTGGGGGGGGAAGTGGGGGGGGGGGGTGGGTGGGTGTGGTTGTGTGTTTGGGGTTGGTGTTGTTTATATTAACTGTTTTTTTCTTGTGGTGTTTATATTAGTTGTTTTTTGTTGTGGGGTCTAGTTATATTGTTGTTTTTTGTGTGTTTTTTTTGGTTTTGGGGTTAGATCTTTTGGTGTGTTTTTCTTGTTTTAGTAGTATATTTTGGGGTGTGTTGGTTTGTTTTATTTGGTTTGTTTTTTTTTTTGTTATTGTTTTGGTTCGTTTTTAATTTTTTTTGTGTTTTTTTTTTTTTTTGTGTTGGGGGTTGTTGTTTTGTTTTTTTTGTGTATTTTATTTTCGTTATTTGTTTGGGCGGTGGGGAATCTTTTGTTCATATTTTTTTTTCTTTGTTTTTTTGTTATCTTGTTGTAACAAGTGTGATTTTTTTAATTCTGTATGGTGTTTATTATGTTTGTTTGTGTGTTATGTTGTTTGTTGTTTTTTGTATGTCTTGTCTCTTTTTATTTTTGTTTGTTTTTTTTCGTTTTAGGTTGGTGTTGTTGTTTTGTTTTTGGGGGTGGGAGGGGGATAGTTTTTGGTTGTTCTTGGAGTGTTTTGGTTTTTTTGTGTTCTGTGGTGATTTGATTTTTGTATTTTTTTGTGTTTATGTTTTGGGATGATTGGGGGTGTGTTGGAGTTGAATTCGTATTTTTTATCTTGTCTGTTTTTTGTTTTGTGTGGTTCTCTTTTTTTTTTCTTTGTTTTATCCCCCTTTTCTGTTTCATCCTATTTTTAAGGCCATAGCCCACAGCCAGTCTGCTCGGTTCATGCAAACAGAGGGTGGAAACTCTGGCGATGCCGACTACGAAGATGAACAAGATGTGATTCCAATATTTACAACAGACAATGATGAAACTGAGGCCGAGGGGAGCCCTGTTAATACTGACAGTAACGAGGTAGAGACTGGGAGTGGCTTAGTCCAGCTGACCCTCCCACAACCGAGTGCTGAGCTGATCCAGTTGTTATACATCCGTCTCAGTGATATTGTGGCAAATGTTGCCGACTATCCTCCTGCCCAGCTCTATATCAGGTACAGTGCTCCATTCACTCACTGCACTATCTGTCAATACCAGGTTAGTGAGAGATTCACAATCTACATGCGCAGGTTCTTCAAAGATGAGATGCATGAATTGATAGGTTGGAATGTCTACAACTTTCCCAGGGAAATGGAGAGACAGGGGGTAATGTGCAGTGTACTACATGCATGCATTGTGATTCAAAAGGCCCATAAATCGCAGGTATCTGAAGAACTTTGGAAGCTGCAGGCAGTCAATGGACCAAGCTATGACTTGTGTGAAACATACCCTCAACTACTTTATTTTCCAGCCTCCGTTCCAGTAAGTACGGTCATTATTATAGTATGTTTATGATACCACTAATATTATTCAGTTGAGTGATCTTCAAGAGTCGGCAAAGTTTAGGAGTAAGGTATGTACACAGTATATAATAGTGTGATAATAATGTGTTTAGCCATTTAAAGTTTATGGGGTGATAAATTGTGTAGATATTCATGGTTGTCCACTCTATGCATGAATACGTTTTGGTGTTGTCCAGGGCCGACTTCCTTGCCTTGTGTGGGTGAATGGGAAGAAGAAAAACTTTATGCTTCGCTGTGCACAGCCACTCACTGGAGCTGCTGGAAAGGTATGTACATATGGGCTTCTTAACCCCTTTTTGAACAGTCCTCCAGGGAATTGTTGTCTCATTCCCCTTTGCTTATATCCCACTATTCTTTCCTAGTTGTTTCTACGTACATCCCACCTTCAGCATACTGCTTCTTGACGTAGTGTATTTCGTGGTCTTTACCACAGCACTCAAGAGAGGACGAGTTGCTGATCCAAGAGTCCATGAAGTGTGGGCCCCCTGATGGCAACCTCACAATATTTGATGCTCGCTCGTTCTCTGCCGCTACCGGAAACAAAATCATGGTATATACGAACAGTGTACATTGAACTTTGATTAAATGATGGTGTGTGCATTTGAATGTGTACAGTACGTGTGGAATTCATTTCTCTGTGTCCTAGGGAAAAGGAACGGAGGACATCACCAACTACCCCAACACAAGACTCACGTACCTGGATATACCCAACATCCATGCCGTGAGAGAGAGTTTTGAGAGTCTCAAGACTCTCTGCCTCTCTTCTACCAGTGACAAGTGGTTCTCAGCACTTGAAAACACTCAGTGGCTCAATTACATCAGCCTCATTCTCAAGGTATGAAGGCAGAAAATGTGGTACATAAGCCCCATTGGGAATTGCTAATTATTGTTATATCCATTCTGTAGTCATTACCCACTTTTCCCTCCTAGCGTACTGTGTACTAAACTACCAACTGCTTTTGTTTATTAAAGTATGACCTTCCACACTCGGTGTGTAGTGTTGCATGCTTAGTTCTACACCATCGCATACTACATAGTAGTAACAACTGAACATGGCCAAGAGTTGGTCCAAACGCATGTGCATCTAGCTAGCTTTAGCAGAGACCATCAGCCAATCTCTGTCCACATGTGTTACTGGGATGACAATTTCTAGGGTGCCACGATGATTGCCCGGTGTCTGAAGCTCCAGCAAGGAAATGTCCTCATTCACTGCAGTGATGGCTGGGACAGGACATCCCAACTCACCTCCCTCTCCCAGCTACTGATGGACCCTTACTTCAGAACAGTGGAGGGCTTCAAGGTATGCTCAGCTGCAGGATTATGTTGTACAGCATTCGGTATGTACCTCAATCTCACCCAATGTGTGCAGTAATCTATCTCTCCTCCTTGTGAATGAGGGTAACACAACTGAGATATTTTATCTCTAGTGTTTGATCAATAGGTTCTGATTGAGAAGGAGTGGCTCTCATTTGGACATAAGTTCCAGCAGCGACTAGGCCACCCTCTCCTGCCTCATGAACGATCACCCATCTTCCTCCAGTTCCTGGATTGTGTACATCAGGTCTCAATCTCTTTGTGTAAAATACAATGCACGGTTATTACGTGTTATTACTTTACAGATTATGTGGCAGTATCCTAATGCCTTTGAGTTCAATGATTCACTGCTGTTGAGAGTGGCAGAGCACATCAACACAGCTTGGTAACTCTAGCTAAACCCACGGTACTCACTGTAACATCATTGTCTCATTGTGCAGGTTTGGTACATTTCTCTGTAACTGTGACCGGGAGCGACACAACCTCTCTCTCTATGCCACGACTCTCTCTCTGTGGGCCCACATAGATACCGACCTCCACTCCATGCTCAACAGTGACTTCACTGAGACAAAAAAGGTAGACTTTCATTCACTTTTCTCTGTTACTTGTTTGTATTTACATCTTTGAACTCGGCCAGACCATATTCCCAATAATAAACATCAGACGTTTGAGGCTATGGGAGGAATATTTCCTGACCTTTGACCCGACCCACATGGCACAACAAGGCCACGCTGAGGAACATGGTGTGACACAAACTGCCTCAGATGGGCCAAAGGTATACGCACTGCCTCTTTTCCTGTGGATTCACAACCGACATTACTCCGCTACAGGCCACACCCCAGGCGGCTCTCACTCAGTCATGGGCCACTGACACTGTAGTGTGGATGTCCAATGACAAGACTTTGGACTGTTGCTTCTGTCAGCAGAGGTTCTCTGCCTTCAGGAGGAAGGTGATTTATTACTGCAAGAGATATGTGATATGTTGTGTGAGTGCTATTTTGGCAGTAGTATATAGGTGGTCTGGTACTCCCAGTCTCTTCTGTCTTGTTTGATCTAGGTATATACTATCTTGCCACAATGTGTTTTCATACTGGTCATGAATTCTTTCCCTCTTACTCTCTCTCTCTCTCTCTCTCTCTCTCTCTCTGACTCCATCCCCTCCCCCTGTTTTCTACCTCCATAGCACCACTGCAGAGCATGTGGGAGAATATTTTGTAATGACTGTACTAAGAGGCGCATGGCTCTCAGTCACCTGGGCTACTTCCAGCCTGTTCGAGTGTGTGATGAGTGCTACAGTAAACTTCATGGAGCACAGAACACCAAGGACACTGATGTATGTATAACCTACAATATTATAGGATGGAATGTATTATAATTATTAATGCTCTATTTTTCAGGATGGGTTTATACTCGTAAGCCAATCTTCACAATAGTCATCGACAGTTAGACTTTACTTTGTATCATACCATAATATTTTATTTATGTGTTTGTGCCATGTGGAGCTAAATGAGTTGGTGAACATGGGAAGTTGACTCTATTGTTATTGGCAAGAACGTCAAAAGTTGATAAATAATATTGATGCCCATTGAACACAATATTCCTCGGGCTGAAATTTGCAGATCTCTTAAACATTGTGTTACAGCTTTTCACATTCACTGAGATCTGTAGTGTATGTAGGTACAGTGTTTTTGGACATGAGTTGGTCTTTTCGGAGGTTCGAATTCTAATGTATTCCAACTAAGATGGGATAGTTTGTAGCAGAAGACGACACATTGCTCTCCCACGCTCTTGGACGAGAAGTTTAATTTGAACCAACATTATGCTATTGACTCAATTTTAAAACGTTCCTACATTGTTGTTCAGTTTGACATGCCAAACCTGCTTGATAAGGAATATCTATAGCTCAGGTATATTGGCACAAAAGTCTTGGATATATGGTATGTACCTGTATGTAAATCATTATGCACATTCCTAGAGAGGAGCTATGACTGTTTTTCTTGAGAAATTGTGGTGATAAAAAGTAGGGGTAGGGAAAATAATGCTGGCTTGGAGGTGTGGAGAATATTCCAGGAATAATCAGGAGGGAATAATAATACCATCATCTACACACAAAAGTATAGATGTGTCTGGGTAATTTATGTAGCTAGCTAGGTACCTGTTGTGCTAGTTAGAGCAGGCAGGGGGAAATTACATTCGTTTTGTGTGTTAATCGTCCTCATCAAAAGCGCCCGTGAAATTGGTGTTATTTGTGGGGGCATGAGTGAAAGGTTGCGCTTGCGTACAACACAAACACCGCGCACCCCACCATTATTCAGTGTCTTTGCGAGCGGAGCGAGAGTGGAGTAGAATCGCGTGAGAACGAATGGAAGTGCCCATACTGTGGCAAGTTATTGTCTCGTACATTACCTAGTGTGACTGTATGCCCCGGTTGCAAGGGCGACATAAGGCAGCAGTCGTGGCATGGACGCAACACCGCCCAGACACCTTCTGAACAGCCAGAGGTCGTACAATCTCCAGCGCCGATACCAGCAGAGCATGCAGTCGAACTACAACCCTCGAAATCTTCGGAACAGGCCGTCGTTTATTCCACGCCGTAAGAACCTTAGTGACAGCGAAACCTGAAGAAATCCCATCCCTGGCTGTACCCGCGGTCCTACAAGAACAGGCAGCCACGCCAGTGGTCGCTGAATCTGAGCAGCAGAATATTATTTCAGCGGTTGATGATACCTCACCGCGGGAACCGGCCGCGACGCCCGTAGTCGGTAACTCTGAGTTGCCAAGTACTCCGGCAGCACCCGAGGTTGATAAAGCTTCACCACAGGAACCTTCAGAACAGGCAGCGACGCCCATTGCCTTTAACTCTGAGCTGCAGAATATTCCGGCAGCACCCGCGGTTGATGATACCTCACCACAGGAAACCTTCAGAAAACGGGACAGCGAAGTACCCCATGCTTGGTCTGTAACTATGAGCAGCAGAATATTGGGGCAGCACCCGAGGTTGATGATACCTCACCACAGGAACCTTCAGAACAGGCAGCGACGCCCATGGTCTGTAACTCTGAGCAGCAGAATAATATTCCGGCAGCGGTTCATGATACCTCACTACAGGAGGCAGCGACGCCCGTAGTCGGTAACTCTGAGCAGCAGAATAATATTCCGGCAGCGGTTCATGATACCTCACTACAGGAGGCAGCGACGCGCGTAGTCGGTAACTCTGAGCTGCAGAACACTCTGGCAGCACCCGAGGTTCATAAAGCTTCACCACAGGGACCTTCAGAACAGGCAGCGACGCCTGTGGTCTGTAACTCTGAGCAGCAGGCAGCACCCGCGGTTGATGATACCTCACCACAGGAACCTTCAGAACAGGCAGCGACGCCCGTAGTCGGTAACTCTGAGCTTCCCGCAGCACCCGAGGTTGATAAAGCTTCACCACAGGAACCTTCAGAACAGGCAGCGACGCCCATGGTCTGTAACTATGAGCAGCAGAATATTCCGGCAGCACCCGCGGTTGATGATACCTCACCACAGGAACCTTCAGAACACGCAGCTATGCCCGTTGCCGGTAACTCTGAGCTGCAGAATATTCCGGCAGCACCCGAGTTTGAAGGCACCCCGCAACTGAAACCTTCAACGATAGTACCTGTTGTTGGTAAATCTGAGGTGAGTTATAGCAAGCCAGATTTAACTTTTTCTGATGCTGTAAATTGGAGATGTGAAGCCACAGTGCACTTCAGTTATGTGCACGCACATTACTTGCACTTCAATGTTTTTATGATGACTGCTTTTATTTCCCTCAGGAAACCATACAACCTGGTACTGTTCTCGATGCTTTGTACCGCAACATGTTCCAACTTTTCAAGCGCAGACAGACAAGTAAGACAGAACCTTGTGTACCACATAGTTGATATTTTCTTTCACAGATCAGGACATAAAGATTTGGATGGGCTTAATGCTCAAAGCATTATGTAGCGGTGACATTCAATTGTATTATACCTAAACTCCTTTGGGAGTGGAATGAACAATCTTGTATTCACATGAGGTTTGGACATCATGCACTGGGTAATTGGGAACACAAACATTGGAGACTTTAAACAGCAAAGGTTTGTTAATTTTATTAAGTTCAGGTGTTTTATAAAAGTTGTACAGTTAGAGGTATGTATCTCATCCACATAATTTATGAGTGAAATGAGCCTACCAAGTCGTTTCAATGTGGGAATTTTCTATATGATTTTAATAGGTACGTATATAAAATGCCGCGAATTTTAAATAAGAGGGGAGGAGGATGGTATAAATAATAAGGGAGACAAGATAGGGATGGGATGTATGAAGCACAGTTTACTAACAGATTGTGAGCATGCTAACAGCTCAAAATCCATCACACAATCCCTATCTTGTTGAAGTTTTGAAGAAAGTTGCCTGTTGATATTTTTTGTTGTTCAAACAATATGTAGTCGTCATGGAAACAATGTGTTATACATCATGCGTACCAAGTGTTATCTCTATGCGTGTTACCGTAAGCAAATTTGAGAAGTGACGAACAAAATTTTATGAAAAGTGCCTGGGGCTGTTGTTGTATTTGGCAGTCATGGAAACGATGTACTTTGCACGGTGCCAAGTTTGCCAAGTTTTATGTCCATGTGTGCTATCTTTAAGAAGTTTGAGGAGTGAAGAAAGAAAAATGCCTGAGGGTATTTGTTGTTGTTTACAAACATGTATTGTTGTGTTTCTGATACTATTGACTGAATACATTATGCATACAAACTTTTATTCACATAGCCTCTTACCACAAGGGAAAACAAGGAAATGGCTCCATTGACGAGTTGGACCACGTGGCATAACCCAGCCCTAAGCATGCATGCACATCAACGAACGCGCGCATATTCCTAGCACCGAGAGTTTGCACCATTTTCATTACTGGTGGAATGCAACACATTTTAACAAGTGAAAGTGAGTAGCTCAATATTTCGTGAGTATTTTGCGCATGTTTAAAAATCACGTAATACATTACAGTATGTGCAGTCGGCCACCGCAGTGCCCACCGCAGTGCCCACTGCAGTGCCCATTGCAGTGCACGTCACACAAAAATTATACAAGTAAATTAAATATCCTGCGATTTAAAAAAAGAGGCATATAGGGATCGTATAAAAAGAAAGGAGACAGATGAGACAAGGATAGGGATGCGGATAAAAACGATATTGTATATATTGAATGTGAATGTAATAAAAATATTTGAAATTTATTAATGAACATATTGTTATTTTTTTGAAATGGTCGTTAATTTATTTATTTTTTTATTTTGATTTGTATATAGTGATGAATGTATTGGTTTTTTTTTTGATATTATTATGAACAAAAAAACATTTTCTGTTTGAATGTGAAAATTGATTCTAATAATGTTTGATTTTTGTGAATTTGTGATGTGTCATGATTTCAATTATTCTTTATAATATGGTTGTGATTGATGTTGATTATGTGATATGGGATGTTGATCATGTTAAGAAAAATTTGTGATTTAATTGATTTTTATATCATGTTTTTTTGTATTTGTTTACATTGTTTTATGATTTTGATTGTTGAATGATATATTTTCTGATGATATTTTTTATGATAAACATGTTAAAATGTGTTTTTTGTTATGTTTGAAAATGATTATTTGATGGAGTACTGAAATTTGATTGTGATGTGAAGCTAAAAGTTTTGTTGATTTGTATGGGTATTGATTTGTTGTTTAATTGAATGCTTTATTATGTATACATCATGTGAATATTTGATTTGTCTTATTTATTATGCTGTTTTTATGAACATGTTGATTGTTGAATATGATGTTGCCATTTGGGGGGCAAAGGGAGAGGGGCTGGCCGGAGGGGGGGGGACGACGCGGGGTGGGAGGGAAGAGGAGGTGCGGCGGCAGGGTAGGGAAAGAAGTGGACGGGTAGGATAGGGGACGTGAAGGGGAAGAGAGTACAGGGATAGGGGAGCAGGGTGGAGGGAGGGAAGGGGCGGGTGGGGGGAGAAGAGAAGGAAGAGGGGGCTGTTGGGGGGAATATTTCAGTTTTATGTCCTTATATATTTGAATTGATTTGATTTCAAATTATTTGATTTGTTATGATGTTTTATGATGTATATGCATTTTTAACATGAATTATATTTTGATGTTTATTGATGATGTTGTTGTAAAACAATTGTGTGTGTTGGTTGTTCGGGATAGTGGAGTGCTAGGGAAACCAGGGACTGTATGGGGGGTCGCCGTTTTGGTGAGTGGGGGTATATAGGTTTGGGTGAATGGAATGCTATTTGAATGAGTTCAATTTTACAATTTGATTATTTTGTGACTTGTTTTGATATATGATTGAGGTGTTCTTTTTTTGTGCTATATTGAAAGTTTATTTTTGAATTTTTTGATATTTTATTATTCTTTTTAAAATTCATGATGAAATGATTGTATGAACTTACAGGGTAATGAACATATTTCGTATGCGACCACCCCCAACCCCCATCACCACAAACCCTAATTGTTGCCTTATGTGCATACTCTTATA